AAAAAAAAAAAAAAAGATGTTAATTCTAGCACTGTTTTTATTTTTCTTTTCTCTTTTATTTTTTGAGACAGTCTTGTTCTGTTGCCCAGGCTGGAGTGCAGTGGCACAATCTTGGCTCACTGTAACCTCCGCCTCCTGGGTTCAAGCAATTATCCTGCCTCAGCCTCCTGAATAGCTGGGATTACAGGCATGTGCCACCAATGCTGGCTAATTTTTTTTGTATTTTTAGTAGAGACAGGGTTTTACCATATTGGGCAGGCTGGTCTTGAACTCCTGATCTTGTGATCCACCCGCCTCAGCCTCCCAAAGTGCTGGGATTACAGGCATGAGCCACCGTGCCTGGCTTATTTTTATTTTTTAATTTTAATTTTTGTGAGCACAGAGTAGGTTTATATATTTGTGGGATATATAGATGTTTTGATACAGGCATGCAATGTGTAATAATCACATTATGTAAAATGGAGTATCCATCCCCTCAAGCATTTATCTTTTGTGTTATAAATAGTCCAATTATATTCCTTTAGTTATTTTAATTAATTATTTTTTGAAATGGAGTTTTGCTCTTTTCGCCCAGGCTGGAGTGTAATAGCTTGATCTCGGCTCACTGCAACCCCCGCTTCCTGGGTTCAAGCGATTCTCCTGCCTCAGCCTCCCGAGTAGCTGGAATTAACAGGCATGAGTGACTGTACCCAGTTAATTTTTGTATTTTTAGTAGAGATAGGGTTTTGCCATGTTGGCCAGGCTGGTCTCAAACTCCTGACCTCAGGTGGAGGTTACAGGTGTGAGCCACTGCACCCAGCCAATAAATGTACATTTAATATTACTAAATAAAAATATATTAAAATTTTAATATTAAAAAATTATTAATGCACAAGTAAATAATTTTTGACTATAGTCACCCTGTTGTGCTATAAAATATTAGGTCTTATTCATTCTAAAAATTTTTTTGGTATCTATTAACCAACCCCACCTCTCTCCAACCCTGCCACGACCCTTCCCAGCCTTTGATAACGATCCTTCTATTCTGTGTCTCCATGAATTCAATCGTTCTGATTTTCAGATCCCACAACATGTGAGAACATGTGATGTTTGTCTTTCTGTGCCTGGCATATTTCACTTAGCATAATGACATGTTGTTGCAAATGACAGGATCTCATTCTTTTTATGGCTGAATAGTCTCCACTGTATGTAAGTACCATATTTTCTTTATTTGTTCATCTGCTAATGGACACTTAGGCTGCTTCCAAACTTTGGCTATTGTGAAGAGCACCGCAACAAACGTGGGAGTGCAGATATCTCTTCGTATACTGATTTCCTTTCTTTGGGGTATAAACCCAGAGGTGGTCTAAAGACCACACTTTGGGCTGAGGGTGGTAGCCCACGCCTGTAATCCCAGCACTTTGGGAGGCTGAGGTGGGCAGATCACCCGAGGTCAGAAGTTTGAGACCAGCCTGACTAACATGGAGAAACACTGTCTTTACTAAAAATACAAAATCAGCTGGGCGTGGTGGCACATCCCTGTAATCCCAGCTACTAGTGGGAGGCTGAGGCAGGAGAATTGCTTGAACCTGGGAGGTGGAGGTTGTGGTGAGCTGAGATTGTGTCACTGCACTCCAACCTGGGCAACAAGAGTGACACTCTGTTTCAAGAAAGAAAAGAAAAGAAAACAAAACAAAAAACCCCACATACACTCTGGAAATAACTGCAAGACAATAGTAAAGAGAATTATGGTACAGCCAGTCTATGAATACAACCATTAGAAACCAAGTATCTGGCCAGGCGTGGTGGCTCAGGCCTGTAATCCCAGCATTTTGGGATGCCTGGGGGGTGGATCATGAGGTCAGGAGTTCAAGACTAGCCTGGACAACATAGTGAAACCCCATCTCTACTAAAAATACAAAAAATTAGCTGGGCGTGGTGGCGGGCACCTGTAATCCCAGTTACTCGGGAGGCTGAGGCAGGAGAATCATTTAAATGGGAGGTGGAGGTTGCAGTGAGCCAAGATCATGCCATTGCATTCCAGCCCAGGTGACAGTGCAAGACTTCATCTCAAAAAAAACAAAAAAAGAAAGAAGGAAATCAAGTATCTAAGGAATTTATAATGTGTTGTTCTGCTAAGTTAAAAAGCTGAATGCAAAGTTGAGATATAGCACTTAATTCTATTTATAAAATACTTTCATTAATATCCTGCTTTATTATGGAAAAAAATCCATGTAAGGTAGCTGGCAAAAATCATACCAGAAAAAAAATATAACCTTAAATAAATACTGGAGAAAACTGGATAAATTAAAACATTGGCTGGGTGTGGTGGTTCACACCTATAATTCCAGCACTTTGGGAAGCTGAGGTGGGCAGATCATTTGAGGTTAGGAGTTCGAGATCAGCCTGGCCAACATGATGAAACCCTGTCTCTACTAAAAATACAAAAAAATTAGCTTGGCATGGTGGTACATGCCTGTAATCCCAGCTACTCAGGAAGCTGAGGCAAGAGAATTGCTTGAACTTGGTAGGCGGAGGTTGCAGTCAGCCAAGATTGCACCATTGCACTCCAGCCTGGGCAATAGAGTGAGACTCCATCTCAAAATAAATAAATAAATAAAAATTTTAAAACAAAAAATAATAAAAATAAAAAAATAAGGTGGAAAAGTTAAATGAAGTTAAGAATGTGGCTGGCATACAGAATACGTAATCATCATTTGCTTCAGGCAGGCCACGGAGCAAGGTTCTGCACTTTCTCATGGCTAATGTAAAGGTACACACAATGATCCATATAACATGATTCACACTGTCCTTAAGATAAGAAGCAACTAGCCATGCAGAGGAAGCACAGCTTCCTAGGGTTGAGACAGAAAGAAATTTCTTCTGTGGCTCTACGGAAATAAGACATAGAAATATATACATGTATATATATATATATATATATATATATATATTTTTTTTTTTTTTTTTTTTTTTTTTTTTTTGAGATGGAGTTTCACTCTTTTCACTCTTGTTGCCCAGGCTGGAGTGCAATGGTGCAATCTCAGCTGACTGCAACCTCCACCTCCTGGGCTCAAGCAATTCTCCTGCCTCAGCCTCCCTAGTAGCTGGGATTACAGGCATGAGCCACCACGCCCAGCTGATTTTGTATTTTTAGTAGAGATGGAGTTTCTCCATGTTGGTCAGGCTGGTCTCAAACTCCTGACCTCAGGTGATCTGCCCGCCTCGGCCTCCCAAAGTGCTGGGATTACAGGCATCAGCCACCTCGTCCGACCAAGACATAGAAATATTGTGAACAGCCTTTGCAACCTATTTACAGTAAACACAGCAACACACAAAGCTGTATAACATCCTGAATTCACTGATATAACCTTCGTTTATTCAGTCAATAAATACAGTGTCAGTTATGTGCCAGGAACTATGACTGGCACTGGGGTTATAAGCAGTGAACAGAAGAGAATATCCCTGCTTGCGGAGGTGATGATCTAGTTGGGGAAACACCAAGTAAACAAAATAAATATGTAAAATGTATCATGTATCCAACGATGATAAATGTCACGATTAACAAAAATTCAGGGAAAAGGGATAACAATTGTTATTTTAGGATAGTCAGGGAAGGCCTCACTAATATTGAAATGAGAGATTGAGCCATGCAGATATCTGGGAGAAGAGTATTCCGGGCAGAGAGAATGGCAAGTGCCAAGGACTGAGATAGGTATGTTTGGTGTTTCTGAGGAACCATGAGTGGGTCAGGTTGGCTGGAGCAATGTAAACGAGAGGGAAAGAAATAGGAAGTAGATGAAGAATGGGCCAGAAGGTGTGGCAACCTGAGAACACTGTGAGTGAGGATTCTGGCTTTTATTGAGCAGAGAAGGGACATGAAGTGACTTACATTTACTCAATAACATTTAATTGAGCATCAACCACATGGCAGATTCTGTGCTAGGCAGGCACTGGGGCTACTGTGGTGAACAAAACCAGCATAATTGCTGGGCACAGTGGCTCATGCCTGTAATCCCAGCACTTGGGGAGGCAGAGGTGGGGGGACTGCTTGAGCCCAGGAGTTTGAGACCAGCTTGGGCAATATAGTGAGACCCCCATCTGTATAAAAAATAAAAAAATTAACCAGGTATGGTGGTGGGCACCTGTAATCCCAGCTACTAGGGGGGCTGAGGCAGGAGAATCACTTGAACCCAGGAGGAGGAGGTTGTAGTGAGCCAAGATTGTGCCACTACACTCCAGCCTAGGTG